ATCACTTCGGTGGTGTTGGGTGATGTCTCAACAGCCAGACATCTCCACACCATGCAGCTATTAACGGAACAGGACTCTGCATCACATCTGCCAAAGGAACCTCACAGCGTGCCTGCTATCAGAAACAGAATTGGGATTTGCTCCAAATGCTTTCAAGAGAACAGAGCTATGTCTTGCTTTCTCCAAGTTCAGTTTAAAAGGCAACACAAAAACTAGCTGGCTTTGGTAGGCAATGCAAAGTAACAATTCAATTATAATTCTTTGGGGACGGTCATTGGTATCTCTTTGTGTGTGTGTGTGTGTGTGTGAGAGAGAGAGAGAGAGAGAGAGAGAGAGAGAGAGTCTGGCAATTAAGTCTCTAGTCACCTAACCCATGAGTTTGTTCTTGATGTCACATAACATCTATTTGATAGACACCTAAACGCTTCCACTGTTTAGACACCTAAACGCTTCCACTGTTTACCTATCATCACACATCCAGTCTCCTCCTATTGATGTATTGCCAGTTTTCCTTGCCCTGGTAGAAGAGATGCAGTTTCCTATAACCCATTTTCACAGTGAGTTTTCTGTGTCAGCAGGAGGTTGGGCTGAACTATCTTTGAGGTTACTTAAGACTCTATAATTCTATGAGTAACTCCTATGTGGTTTTGTCTGCTCCTTTGTCGCTGACCTTTGTCCTTAATTGAGTTTCCCTACATTTGATATTCTAACCAGTCTTGGAAAGTCCAAGCAAAGGGTGAGGAATCAGTTAGAAATGAATGGGTTATGGAGGTTGCACAACTTATGATTCATCAACCTTCGAGGTGCTTAGCAAACCTTCTTTTCACAGTCCCAGGCAAACAACAAAAACATCATTGAACTTTTAGAGACCAATATACATGGCTGGTGGTCTGCATTTGACTGTGGATTCCACAACCCAGGAACCACCAATTAAAGGGCCTTGTCACATGTCAGCACCAACTGGGCAGCAATTGCAGTGCCACTCTGGACCATGTAAACTGGCAAAGCACTATTAATGCCCCTTGAGAACTGGGTCATGGAGAAGTTGATATGTAACTATCTGCAATGTGTGCCTTGTATTTCTTGGTTGTAGCACTACCTTCCACTAAAGTCTTTCTAAAACCATCCCATTTTGGTTTTGTGCTTAAGAATAAGTTCATGCATTAAATAATTGGGTGGCATTCTTTTAGGTCATACTCAAGAGTAGATCCACTGAAATCCATGGACTTATCAATGGGTATATGATTTAGGGTTGTTCTAGAACCAATGGGGTTAAGCTTAAACCCCTAAAACCCATTTGGTTGCATATAGATGGCACCTTCCGAACCCTGCAACACAAACTGTTCGGATCAAGCAACTTGTGCCAAACTTTCTTATGACAGTCTACCTACAAATTAAGATCTTTCAAGCTATGTATAGTTACTCCCTTATTTTACTTATTTCATGTATAGACCTCCCTAAGAAGGAATGGTTCTCCACCACTGACTTTTTATTTTCACAACAACCCTGTGAGGTAGATTATACTGAATGGCTCAAGGTCTCAATGGCTGACAGTCTCATGGCAAAGTGGGGATTTGAACCTGGGTCTCCCCAATCATAACACACCACTTAAAACTACACCACCACTGTTGCTCTTTCCTTCCCTTACTCTCATTTTTGGCATTGTGTGCTTTCTTGCATATAGGGCAAATAATTTTTTTATTTACGTATTTTCTTAAACATATACCTCACTTTTCTTCCATTATGGAGTGCAAAGCAGCACACTATGAAAATAGAGACACAGTCCTTATTGTGGAAAAAGTGGGTTGGTAGTGGGATATATTCATGAGGATCAGATGGAGAATGTTTGTCATTTTTCATTTTGTGGTCCAGATACCACTTACCAACTAGTGCTGAGTGCCAGCACTGTATCTTCTTCAACTGCAATACCTTTTAGCATCTATTTATGGATTGTCAGCTTTGTGTGCCTCAACATTCCCTACATTGCTTGAGAAAGCAATTACCGGTAAATCTTTGCAGAAAGCTGAAGTCATATTAGCTGTTTATAAATGTTTATTGAATTGTTGTAAATTGGATGCTCAGGAACTTAATGAATGTTTCATTCAGCTCAGTCCATGGGAAGTTGCTTTACCATTTTTAGATTTAAAATCAAGGTTGAGTCAACAAAAAATGATGCTCTGGGTATTTTGGACTCCACAGTGCCTTTATAGGAGGGAACTGGTTATGTTGATGCTGGCAGTGTAATGCTAAAAACACCTCTTTGAGGCACATGATGTGGGCATGTCCTGTGGTGTCAGCTTTCTGGTCAGAAATTATTGTTTGTGTGAGCTATGTTTTGGAGAAATCATTTATATTTTTGCAGTTGTTCGCACACTCTTAAATTATCTTCCTGTGATGTGGGAACTAACAGATAGACAATAAATGTAGATCCTGCAAGGAAGGACAAGAACTCAGCATCTACTACTCAGTAGTCTGAAGATCTCACACTGCCCTTTCCTAATTGCTGATCTTTGTTGAAATACCTACTGCACATATGCTGGTTAGGATTGATGGAGTACGGTTATTGTTAATGTCAGTTAGTGGTGTTTTTACATCTTTCTTCCAGCTATATTGGCAAAATAAAAAGACCTGTGTGTGCTTAGCTTCAGCAAGGTGGTGGCCATGTGTGCCTTCAAAAGAAACCCTGCGCCAGGGGTAATTTTTAATTAAAAACTTGAAAAAGCAGGGCTCAGGTGAGACCTAGTCACACAAGCAGCTGTCACGTTGATCTGGAACCATGTGGCAATTGCTTCATTCAATTTCATGACATCACAAACCCCTCCTCCCCTCAAAGGGTTTGCAGTCGTGGTGTGGCGTGTGCATGGCGCAAGACATTACAAAGTGCTCAGTACCCAAGCATCGTTTCTGCAGATGTCTGTCTTCAAAATAAGTTGACAGGGCTTGCTTGCAATTTCTGCTGGAAATCTTGCTGCCATTCTCCCAGACTTTAGCTGTGCCTGGCATGCATTTTGCTTTCTTCAAGCGTAACTAATTGGGGATCTCCCCTCACCTCTTTATATCTCCCACCGCTCCCCCCACCCCCAAGTCCAGCTTTCCACAAGGGATGACACTGTAGCTTTAACAATGGCACCGAGGTCTAAAGGCTTCCTTCCAAACTTGGCATTTGGACTTTTGCAGAAGTGACGGGACCGGTGGTTGTAATTTGAGAGGGAGGGGGAGAGAGAGAGAAAGAGAGAGAGATCCTACGGCCAAAAGCCAAGATCCCGCGTTACCACCACCAATCCAGATGCAGCAGCAAAAGAGTAGCAAACCAAGCGGCTTCAGGCAGGTCTAGCTAGAATCTCTCTCTCTCTCTCTCTCTCTCTCTCTCTCTCTCTCTCTCTGCTTTTGCTCGCACGTTTCTTTACTTGGAAGGCAGAGTGGAGGGAGGAGGGAAAACGTGCTGGAGGTGCATAGGGAACTTGGAGGGAAAGAAATAAAAAGCAACTCCTCCCTAGGGCTCGCTCGCTCTCTCCCCGCGCGCACAACTTCCCACCTCCCGGACTAGAGACGATCTCGTGGGGGACTCGAGAGAGATCTTTTTCAGGAGAAGCCAAACGGCGAGCCCCAATGAAGCCCCGCGCGGAGGGCGAGAGGACTTGATCTTCCGCGCGCCGCCGTCTGCCTTCGCCCGCCGTCGGGGAGCCGCTTCTCCGCCTCTCCCCTTGGCCGGGATGGGGCTGCCCCTGGGGCTTCGCCTGGTGGGGCTGCTGGGCTGCTTGGGCAGCGTGTGCCGCGGCTACTTCGACGGGCCGCTGTACCCGGAGATGTCCAACGGGACGCTGCACCACTACTTCGTGCCCGACGGCGACTACGAGGAGAACGACGACCCGGAGAAGTGCCAGCTGCTCTTCAGGGTGAGCGAGCGGCGGCGCTGCTGGGCGGCCGAGGAGGAGCAGCGGGCGGCGGCGGCGGCCCCCGGCCTGACCCTGCGCGAGGAGCTCACCGTCCTGGGCCGGCAGGTGGAGGACGCGGCGCGGGTGCTGGAGGGCATCCGGAAGAGCATCTCGTACGACCTGGACGGCGAGGAGAGCTACGGCAAGTACCTGCGCCGCGAGGCCACGCAGATCGGCGACGCCTACGCCAACTCCGACAAGTCCCTGGGCGAGCTGGAAAACAAGTTCCGGCAGGGCCAGGAGCAGGAGAGCCGCGAGGGGAGCCGCCTCAGCGAGGACTTCGCCGGCATGCTCGTGCACGCGCGCGCCCTCCTCAAGGACACGCTGGCCGTCTCGGCGGGCCTCCGGGACAAGTACGAGCTGCTCGCGCTCACCGTGCGCAGCCACGGCACGCGCCTCAGCCGCCTCAAGACCGAGTACCTCAAAGGCTGAGGAGGACGCCGACGACGCCTCCACTTGGGACCTTTCGCCGCCCCACAACAGCTCGCCAAGGCGCGGAAAGCCTCCGCGCGCGTAATTTGCGCGCCTTCCCTCCTGCTATTCGAAACGGCGGCTGTGATTTGTCAGTCATATCATCCTTCCCGCGTAGCACTTTGAAAGTGCAAAGGAACCCTGGAGGCGGTGGTTCTCCTAAGGGGACAGGTTGTTGTGGAGCTATATTAAAGGGCAGCAAGCTGGCAATTAATGGGGCTGTCTTATTTTATTTGCCACCACCGAGGGTGCCATTTCTGCCTTAGGCACCCAAATGGCCTGGAACACTTGTTTTGTTTTGCTTTTTTAATAATAATAATAATAATAATAATAATAATAATAATAATGCTTACAGGCTCCGGTGCCTTTCCCAACTTTCTGACTTGCAGAAACTCAACAGGTGACTGTTACATCTCTGTGTGAAAAGAACTGCACCTGTTGGGTTTCTGCCTGTCACGCAGCTGTTGAATACACGTGGATCCTGTGGGTGGGGGAGAGGTGGCTTACAAGCTGGTTGTGTTGTGTTCATCCTCTGCTTTGAGGGTTATGTGTAAAAGGGAGGTGCAAGTAATTAACAGGGCAGTCTATACCTGCCTGCTTGGAAATAAGATCTGTTGAGTCCAGCCAGCCATGCTCCCATGAAGGCATATATCAAACTGCAGCCTTGCTGGCTAAAAAAAAAACCCATTGGTGGATTACTTATGCATGCATTTTCCAGATGTGGATATGGAGGCTGGAGTGTGACTTGTCAGCAGCTTTTGAAGCCTGCACTACTGCACAACCAAGAGCAGCTCAGTTGTGATAACTGGGTTGCACAGCTATCCCACGAGTCTTACTAGTATTTATATTATTAGATAGTCCTGGACATACGGGAAAACTTTGCAATCAGTCCCAATTCAGCAGAGTTAGGCACTCTGAAACCAGTTGTGGTCAGTAACCCAGGGAAATAAGTCGCTGAGGCCAAAAGATAATGACTTGCTAATAGCTTTTGGACCTTGCTCTCAGCTTCCTCCCAACTGCAGCCAGTTGTTCATGGGTTGTGTTTTCACAACAAACCTGTGAGGTAGACCACTGTTTGCCCCTTTTATATTGGAAGAGATGAAGCTGAGTGACCTGTCCAAGACTATTGCAAGGGTCACCCCAGGTCATAAGTCTTAATTGTCTGTCAACTTATAGTTGTTAAATCATGTTGCAATCCTCATATTCTCTGGCCGACTGGGGAATTTGTTGCTCCTTACCCCCTTCTGTAAGCCTGTCAGACTTAATTAAGGATAGCTAAAGAGAAGTTTCATTCCACTCTTTCACAGCTGATAGCTGACATGGAGGTTTTTTAAAATCTTGATTAGTGATTCTGAGAATGAAATCAAGGAGTTATTTTAGGTTCCATAATCTGGAGCAGAAGGGTGTGATATTTTGTAAACATTTCCAGAGAGGTAGCTGCAAACTTTTGTATGAGGCCTCAAGAGAAGTAAGAGAATAACTTTCCCATCCTTTCAGTGTGTGTTGGGGAAAACAGGAATTCAAATACTCATTAGAGGTTGTATGGAGCCATAATGTGGAAACTATTTATTTGGCAAAGTACAAGGGTGTGGTGTTCATCCATATCACACAAGACTGCAAGAATATAGCCTTCTCTCTCTCTCTCTCTTAAGAAAAACCGGTTGAGGGGGAAATTCCCACCTTGTTATCATATTTAACACTTATCCCAGTCATAGAGTATGGAGAATACCTACAGTAACAGTTTTATCATCTCTCCCATGCCACCATCATCTCCCCTGTGCTACCTTTACTCAGTGCAGAATACACAACTGTGCTTAGTGTACTTCTGATTACATTCCTCTAAACTTGCAAAATTAGGTGAGCTGGAGCTGTGAACATTCTGATATCAAGGGTTTTGTTCTATCAAATGTGGATTTGTGTCTTAGGCACTTTTAAAAACAAGTGACAGTCTTTAAGATGCGAAACCCTAGGGCCTGCCTGAAAAACTCTGCCAAACTTGAAGCAGTGACTCCCATCCTTTTCCTCCTCTTTCCTTTTGTGCAAGAATTGTTTTAAATTCTGTAAAAGGATTTAGCATAGTTGGAAGCTACTGTTGAGTCTAGCTTGGCTCCCTCCAGGATGTAAATTTCCTGCCCACTGGGAGACAGCCCAGCTGGAATGCCAGCAACAGTGAGAGATTGGAATCTGAGCCATCCTTCCCTTCATCGAGAGTTCGAACTTGCCAGATCTAAATATAAAAAGTAATTGCTATGGTGTCCGCAGAGTGGTTTTCTAGTGGAGCTGTAACATTTCAAAAAAACATTTCTTCTCTTATGTGGAATGGCAGTGCTCCATAGTAAGGGGCAGTCCTTAAAACCAAAATAGGGCTTTCTGGCAACATTACTCCAAGCTCAGAACAGGTAATTCTGTACCCTTTGAAAAGACAGGGGAACGCTTCCAAGTAACCTTTAAGAATAAAATGGAACGGAGGTAGTCAGATTCCCACTCTAAAAGAAGGTGACAAATCCTGTTGACTCTTCTTTTGCACTAGGAATTTCAGGTACTGTACAGGTAAACAATAAGAATCTAATTCCTCAGGCTTTCAGTGGATGAGAGTAAGGCTCCTGGAGCCAGCAGGGCAGTAGAAGACTTTCTTTCTATTTCAATGTGTAGCCACCTGGGATATATGAATTCCCAGCAGTAATTTGACTCCAAGTAGCAATAGTCTTTTCCATTGCTGCAAATCCTTTCCCCTTGCTGCTACATCATCACTACCACCACACTTCTTTCCTCTAGCTGTTCTGTTTCCTAATTGCTCACACTGTAGGGATTTCACTTGCCATGTTAAACAATAAGAGGTGCTCTGCAATTGCAGTGCCTGTGACACAGTTCTGCAGAGCTGAGGTATTTGGAAATAACTGGATGTATTGTGTACAAGGGGGCTGTTTTGTCTGGAATAAAAGGCATTCCTAAGACATCTGTTCAGATACTAAAATACTACTCTCCGTCTTCTGTACTTTCATAGTACTGAATGTAACACATGCTTGATGGAAATTATTGATGAATTTGCAGACGCTCTTACCCTTCCAAAATATTCCAGTCTTCCAGCCATTTCATTACCTACATCTCTCTACAAGAAAACCCTGCTATGGGTTCTGTGCATACTTACTTGGAAGTAAGCCCCATTGGACTCAGTGAGACTTGCTTCTGAATAAACAGCTTGTTGCTGTAAAGACCACAGGATTCTTTACCAAACACATCTCAGTGCTCTCAGTGCATGGTTCATTCCTTCACCTATTCCTTTTCCTAGTACCTTGCATAATACTAGCCCTTACCTGATTCTGCTCTTTTAAGATCACTGCATTAAATATCAAGTATTGGAAGTACCTTTTCAAGTTAGCCATTAATTCTATATATATTTATTTACATGTCAGCTTAGAAGTAAAGGGCTTTTCCCTAGGAGAGTTGAGTTTAGGATTGCACTGCCACCCACTTAACCTGGAAGTTAAGTCCCATTGAACTCAATGGGGGCGGCTTCTGAACAGAAAAATATAGCATTGCACTGTAAAATAACCCTTATATCAGAAGTTCTGTCATTGTCAAGTCAACTAATTAACCTGGGCAGTGCTCAGTCATCTAGTTCTGAAACATGTTGTGATTTCACTAGTGACTCTTGAAGGATTGCTTGTGAATTTGCAGGCATGAGTGGTCCAGCAATGGCTTGCCCCATACCATGTTCATTATGTGTAAACCAGCAGCACTGGTCACATTGTGCTCCCGCTTGATTGAACAACAATCTATAAGGGCCAACCCTAGGCATCTGACTATTCTTACCTATGCAGAAACTGGCTATGTGTCCTCAACAATGTGACAAAGCAGTAAGAAATCACATAGTGAGAAAAATATTATAATACTGGGTTATCCAGAAGCAGGCCTACTTTAGCTTCATTTCCACTGATACCCTAGAGAGGTATGAGACACCCTCTAATAAGAGTTTGCTTTTCAAGATGGTATTTATTAAATTTACTATTTCTTGAAAGTATACATTGTAAATGGTATGCAACAAATATAAATGAAATCTTGACATATTAAGTTAAGCATTCTAATATTTAACAACTATTTTGTATTCCATTGTGTATCTTTAGTAATGTATTCTTATTTGGACTTTCTATTGCTGTTTTCAACCAGAAACTGCCCCCCTAAAAACACACACCCCTAAATACAAATTCAACAGCCATATGTGGATAAAACAAGGAGTCTTAAATCCACACTGAGGTGTGTATATGTGGTCACACATTTTGCCCTGGTTTACCTTTTGCTTTCTCATTCACTCCGATATGGGCATGGCCCACAGCTCACTTCAACCAGCGTGTGAAATTGGCAGGGGTTGCAGTCCTGTGCACACTTACGCAAGACATAAGATCCATGGTATGTGTGCTTATAATTTATACATCTTGTCATAGCGTGAAGTAGGCTGCAGTTAAATTGGACTGCGTTCTTCCATATAGTTGGTCTGTTGGGCTTAATCAGCTTAACCGTGCAAATTTGCAACTTTAGTTGTATGCCTGGAACGCAAACAGCATTTTGCTGAGATTATTCCAGAACAAGCAGTTTGTAGCTGTGATTTTTCTTTCTTTTGTAATAAAAAAGCAGGACATTTTGTATGGTCACCTGCAAACCAGTAATGAGGAAACACCCATGGGGGCCAAATGTGGCCCTCAAGGACTTTCTGTCTATGGAACTTTTCCCAGACCCTACCCCTTTCTGACCCCCAGTGTTTTCACTTGGCTGGAGGGGCGGGTTGCCCTTGAGCTCCAATAATGCCTCTTGCTTGTCTGGGTGGAAAAGGGCATGCACAGGCACCACCCACTTTCATCTTGCCGCCACCCACCACTGGCACATGGCGCATGGAAGGTTGCCCAGAAGGCAGTGTGTCCCCTGGGCTGAAAAATATTCCCCACCCTGCTGTAAACCATCAGTACCCACAAACGCCATGTGAAACGCATGCAGAAGCTGGAGCCTGCAATAATCTATGTGTGTGACCACCTGAATAAGGATTATTTCTCCCATTGTTCTGTTCACAGTGTAAGGACACATTTCTTTTCTATTCCATAATCTTATTTCTTCTTTTGTAACAACATCAGCTCCTAAATATATTTCTCCTCCCCCTTTTAAACGTATTTCCTTGTGAGACTGTTATGTAAGCATGCTTAGTATTGCAGCCTAAACCTGGTTAAGTTTTTTTGTTCTAATACACCAGTAACTTTCATGTTGCCATACTTTTGCTAGCTTTTTTTTTAAAAAAAGAATCATTTGTGCCCCTAGACAATAGCAAAAGAGCATGGTGAGGAATTGGTTTTGATTTGATTTCAACTGTTCTATTTAATTCAGAATTGAAGTTAATATGAGCTACATTTAAGAAGGAATACTGTCTTTGTATGGTTCTAATAAATATTTAAAGAAACATGTTGAAGTCCTGTTTTGGAGGGCATTTTAATCATGTCATTCTAGAATTTTCCTTTGCCCTTTTGACAGCACTGCAAAAATCTGAGCAGCAACCTATCAAGGGGTTTCTTTCATTTAACATAAGATTTAATTGAATTTGAATGTAAAAGTTTCCAAGCCAATAAAGGTTTTTTTATAAAGTAGTGCTTTAAAAATATAGGCCACTTCCAGACTCAGTATTTTGGCG